AATGACGTCATCACCAATGTTGCCGATCATGAAAAAGTTAAAACACATGAAATAACTCTGAAGTGACTAAGAATGACGAGGTTATATGAGAATAAATTTTCCTTAGCAACGGCTCGAAAAGATCGGTTAATGGGCCCTCAACGGCTCGTTTCGCTCGCCGGATTTTGTTTTCCCCGCCTGCGCCGGATTTTTTTCCGCCCTCGCTGGGAGCCTGTTCGCAGGCTAGTTCAGTTACCGTGCGTTTTCAACCGTTCGAACGGATACCGTAAGGAACGTTTTCGCGTGAGAGGTCACATATTTGCCGATGCATTTTTGTGTTTGAATCGACAAAGTTTTTCTTTTAACGACGCTTTTAGGGTCAAGAAAGTAAAATTGGCGATGTATTTACTTCTTTTTACGTTACGCGTGATTGGTGAAAAAAATCTCCGTGATGAGTGATTTAATAGAAAAATTCAGCGTGATGCGTGATTGGTACCCCACCTTTGCCACCCTCTAATTTCGCTCGTCACCATGCTAATCGGTTACTCCAGACATGCCAGAACTTTCTCGATCGGAGAGAGAGAGAACGTTGTTTCCCTACGTACTCTAAATGGAGACCCGGTGGCAAAAATTATTCGCTGCGGCCATAGCCTGATCTCAGAAAAAAAGAAGGCTTCCTACATGTTCTTTCCAATGAAATAAAACTACTATACAATCCATACAATGAAAAATTCATTTTTAATTAGCCTGCGAACGAAGACGGATTTCTGAATAGTTCGATTCAAAAGTCAGACGGGTTGCATTTCCAAGCTACTTAGATCTTATAGCGAAATATATGAAATTTAATAGAGTAGTACTCAATCTTTTCATATCAAAGAAAGAGTGACTTTTTACGTCAATAACGAAACTAGAAACTAAACTAGAATTCTTTTCAGTGCGGTTTTCATTTGAGACATTTGAGCGTCGAATTTACAAATTGACGTCAGTTTTTCTTGCGGCTGTCCAGTTATTGATCATGAATTTCGTCATAACATTGTCAAAGTAGCTGTGGATACACGAGGCGATAGCCGAGTGGATCCGAGGACTACTTTGACTTTAATGTTATGACGAAATTCACGATCAATAACTGGACAGACGCATGAAAAACTGATATTCAATTCGTTTTTTACGATAACAAATTGTCAAATTGTCCGCTCTCGCCCGTTGACGCACCGCGTGTTGACAATGAAAATTAACCAAAGAGCGCGCGAGAATTTCTGCAGTTATCGTAAAAGAGTAATCGGTTTTGCATTACTACGATGCACGATTGGCTTAACATACTCGCGCNTGTTAAAAGGCTATGTTCTCCCTTAGCAATTACGTCTAATCTTGCAAAATGCTGCAAAGTATAAAACTCGGTAGATTTTTTTTGCAATAGTTACTGTTAGCGTTTTTTAAAGAATTCTAAATTACTTCTAGTTCACTGAAATGCAATAAATTAACAATCAACCAATCCTCCGCAGACAGTGATGCTTGTACAGCTCATTAACTATTACTTTTGAAAAGAATTTCAAATATAGTGTGGCTAAAATCATTAATTTAACAAGTAAAGAAAGAGTACAGTTAGATACAACTTGAGCAAAATTTAAGGGAAAACAGTATTTTAGCATGGTTCCTCAGTTGAAATTGCCTGTTTTCCTGTTCCTATATGCCCTGGACTAACTGTGTAATTAACAAATTGACGTCAGTTTTCATGTGTCTGTCCCGTTATTGATCATGAATTTCGTCATAACATTGTCAAAGTAGCTGTGGATCCACGAGGCGATAGCCGAGTGGATCCGCAGACTACTTTTACTTAATTGTCAAATTGTCTGCTCTCTCTCGTTGATGCATCACATAAATTATAAATTCAACAATTGTGTCTGTCCGCTTATTGACAATAAAAATTAACCAATGAG